GCACATTTTTTGTAACATTCGGCGACAAAATACACCTTTTATAAACCTAAGTTGACGAAATTAGAATATGGCACACGCAGAAAAACTGTTTGATGGTGTTTAACGACGGAAAAGCAAATAATAGTCAAAACTTCTTGAGGAATTTTCCTACCTTTTTAAACTGAGAAGGCAAATTATCTCTGCGTGTAGATCTCTGAGGTATTGCGTAGTAACTTTCTCTGCTACCCGCCTGTTAATGGGAAAACAAGGAAGTCGCCGTTAGAATTAAAAGTACTGCGTTTTCTGAGATATTGCAGGCTAAATTTTCTGTAAGAATTAAAACTCATCTTTGGATAAGGAAAGACGCAACAAAATTCTCACCATTTTCTCTGAGTGCATCGTGGTTTTTCAAAGAGTTAGAAATCTCCACCGAAGTGACAGTTAGGAAGAAATCATCAAGCGCAAAGCTTGTGAAAAATCCATGTCGCATACTTCTTTGGAATGATTCTTAACTTGCCTCACGAAGATTCGAAGAAGTACAGAAAGAAATTTCTTTTTAGAAAAAATTTAAATGTCAAACCTCGCGTAGTAAGAGCGAGATACGTGAATGAAACGAATTTTGGTATTTAAAGTTTGTTTACATTATAGTACGCTTACCTTGATTGGCTCTTCTATTATGTTTATGTCTGGCCATCCAGTCAAAAAGTGTGTATTATTTTGATTTCAAGGTCACCCAAGGGCACAAAGAAAGTCACATGAATCGCTTGTGATAGAGAAGGTATTTGGCGGGAAAATTCCCGGCTGTTGAGACTGATTATGTATTCTTCTGAGCCCGTTGAATGGCCGTGAATTCTCTTCGCCTTCTTCGAAAAGAACAGGCATTCTTGAAGTTCGCGTCAAATTCTTCGAGGCGCTTTGTTATAAAGGAAAACGAAGTGATTAAACCACACACATGTTTACACACATTATTCAACAGCACGATCTTGGTGCACTACAAAAACTATTTCCCGATACAGGGCCAGAGATCGAGCGAGATAAAAGAAGAGTAAAATCCCTCTTGCCTTGACAGGCGCTGATATTGACGGTAGCTGACGGTGATTTCGTGTTGAAAATGGTATCACGAATCTTGCCAAAAAATCCGTGTGAATCAAAGAACAGCACCAGATATTGTGAAGCTCCCGTAGTTTCTGAATTGTGTCGAATCGTTGTCGTCAAAAGAACTTTAATATGACTTTTTGTACTTTGGACCCAAAACACGGGACCGGGAAGAAGCCACGAGAAATATGATTCCTTGTATTGCACTGCGTAACCTGTAATGCGCAGAACAGTTCACTCAAGTAACCTCAAGAGCAAGATTACCAATATTTTGTATGGTTATTAATGCTTCCTGTAATTTTTGTGTTTGTGCCTCAAAACTAAAAACATGAGGGAATGTTTGTGGGGAATGAGGTATTGTTAGAGAATCACATGTATCCACGTAGGTAAATTACGTTAAGCATTCAGGAGTTAAATTTACTTTGGGCACTCTTGTTGTGTTTAGAGTTACATTTAGACCAAGGGACTCTGGGATACATCAGAGAATGGACTTTGAGACGAAGATATGGCGTTAAATATCATATCCCCCAACACTACATGTACGTATGTCCAAAAGTCCAAAATCTGTGAGCTCTGGTTTGAGATCACGCACTCAAAATTTATTTCGTTAGTTCCTTTTTATGACGTGTGGTTGCGTGTCCAAGAAATTATATATAAGTTGTAATTTTTTTTATCCTTAATTACCTTTCCTTTGTTATTCAAGTTGTCTTTTAAAGTTTTTTTGCCTCTTCCCTACGACGTAGGTGCCGATGTATAACTCAAACCGGTATATATTTAACGAGCGTGGCGTCTTACTTTTATCCAGCACACTACGAGCCAAGAGTTGTTTTTGGAACAGTTAGGAGAAGTTGGAATTTTTGTGGATTTCACATATTTGGTTTTAATCGTCAGAGATGTCCGAGCGTGTCGATTAGGAAACCCTGAGTTGGATAAATGTTGATACTGGAGTATTCAAAAAATTGATTTTAGGGAGAAGCAAAGTGCAATTGACAAGACAACGAATTGACAAGAAAATGAAAACAAGAACCATAAGATTTAAGACGAAACCTGATGATTTTTGAAAAATGTTAGGTTTCGATGAGAAACTGATCTGTGATCGCTTTTATGCGGGATATATGATGAGCCGTACGGAAGACCGGGAGACTCGGTTTGTTTCCGGCAGACTCCCGGATAATATGGGAGAGTTAGCAAACGTGATATTGGCAGGGAAATAAAGATAGATTTGCCAAAGAATTGGCTTTTAAAGGAGGCCGGTTTTAATGTTTTATAAAGTAATATTTCGTTCATTTTAAAACTGTTCATTTTCCAATTGTGCAACTTGCTTATTTTTTAGACAATTACTTTGTTTATGCTAGAGGCTTTAGAAATCTGTTAGTTTATTTGACAGTGATTTCAATCTGATACAGCAAATCGGTGCAAAAAGCCAAAAAGTTCGACAAGTCCGTTACAATGTGAGTAATTGAGAATGTCTCTCGATTCTTGGGCAGATCATTCTCAACAGCTGTGTAAATGAGGCTCCAGAACTTCCACCGCATCAAAGCGCTGAATCTTCCTTGTTTGTAGAATACGTACAAATTCTGCCACAGTGAACTGTGGTGACTTCGTCACCAGTGCCTCCAACATAACAGTGCAAGGACTTCCGTCAGGAGTCAACATTTCATTCCGGAAACGCTGAATTTGTTCCTCGGTGAAATCAAGGCACGTTGCAACATGCCTCCAATTGCCAACTCCTTTCAGGGGCTTATCAAGTTTCACACAAAGAGCTTCAAGTACCTCCTTTGGAAGATCTTTAAGACAAGGTGATGGTTTGTCTGGGTTGACGATCAGTGGATCTTTAAGAGAGTACAAAGGCATCAATCAGCTGAGTCAAGGCAACTTATTGGGGGGTAAGTTACATTGCAAGGAACGATTTTGTCTTTGAAAAATGTAAAAAGCACAAATTACCCAAAAAAAATTGAGGTACATTCTTAAGATCTTAAGTAGACACTGAAAAACTGAGCTTTCCCTCCAAATTTCTCACTTGTAACTAGTCACAGGTAACCCCCACTTTTGTCATCACCATCATCTATTTATTTATTTATTGGCCACTAAAGATATAATATTTATACAGGTTTAACAGTATGGTAGAGTAAGGAAACCTCCAAGAAACCACCAGGCTTATAGGTGAGGCCACCTCGTATGTCAATATGTTTGTAATTAAGTTGTGGATGTGGATGTGTGGCTGGCTAATTTGCACTCATTTCACTTAAAAAATTATCATTTTTCTTTTAAAAATAAAAAAGTCAAACCAATGATTGATATTTGGAGAGAATTCCAAATTTTAGAACCTTGGTAGAGTATTGTAAATTGTCTAAGATTAGGCTCAATTGGCTATTCTTGTTGTGGAAAGGAAGAGTTCTTTCTTGGTCCATGGCAGAATGACCATATGTACACTAACTGATACTGGTGTTTGATTTTGCTGAATTTGAGTTGTGATTCCATTAGAGTCTCTGTCTTTCAATTATTTCCTCATGCAGCTAGTTTCTCTCTTCCTCTAGGAAGACCAGTTTCTCAACAACATTAAAAACCACATGTACCTAATTAACCAATATTCAGACTAAGCCAATTTTGCTTTTTACATCTTTCTACAACAATTTTTTTCAAAAATAAATCTCTCTTGAACATGTTTTTACCTCTTGAGCATGGAAGCCTCTACTATAGAAGGTATAACCTAGTAATTATAATGGAAATTATGAAAAAAGGGAGCTTGATAAGACTGGTCTATATTGACAAGGATGTATGTGAAAATGAATATACCTATTATAAACCACTTCATACAGGTTTCCTTTGATTAGATGATAAATCAAAACTGTAACAGAGCTACATTGTGGCTACTGAAGATAAAATGTATCCTCTGTAGTCCAGAGATACACTGTACTCAGTTTTAATAAAACAAAACTGCATTTCCAAATTTCATTTTATTTACCAAGCAAAAGTGAAATAATTATCTCTGGGATCCTAAGGTAGCTAAATAGTGATTTTGAGTACCAATAACTCAATCCTGGAAATAAAATCAAAACAATTGTGTTCTTACCACACAAGTTTCTCCCAGTCACAAATTGATGACTGCCATTACCAAATCCTGGTTGGTGCTCCTGAAACTTCCTAGATGGATCCTGCCAAGGAGGAAACAAAAATGAAAATAGTGTAATTGAGCAATGTGTTCAGTCCATTATACATGTATCACATATCTCAGTCTTCTTTTTGTTTTCATGACTATATCTTAAGCCTTTTAATATAAAGTCTAGGACATCAGACTTCAAGATTTTCAGAATTGCAAAACCAATTGCCACAAATGTTATTGCATACAACTGTATGATAAAAAATATCATGCTGGCTAATAAATCCATTCATCACAATCACATTTAATTAATTTTTAACCAAATTATTATTTAGTTGCATTAATTTAGATTGATGAAAAAAGCACTTACCTCTCTAATCGTGGCAACAGCACAAATCGATGTTGTGGTATCTTCTGCAGTTAGTTCAAACACACAAAGGAAGTCTCGGTTACGGCCATTGTCATGTTTAAACTTTACTGTTGTTCTGGGTATTGCTTGATAAGAATCCTTCAAATTTGTTTGTGTAATGAACTGTGTGATTAAAGCAAAGCCTACAAGTCAGATACCATATGAATATTACATCAGATTGATTAACAACCAAAAAGGACTTCTAATCTCTTTGTGAACTGACACAGTTCCCCAACCAAAATCAATAATTATTCAAAAAACTGATAATGCAGAATAGTACTCACTAATGAACTAATGGGAGGCATGGTTCAAGATATCTTGATCCATTTCTTTGTGGTAAACTGGACAAATCAACGAAGTGAGCTCACCTTCTCATATAACCAGGTTTGTTTGACTCAATGCAGAGTGTAGTATCACTATTACTATTAATAATATCATCAATATCATTGTTTGGTATTTTCAGTGAATTTAATATCATTCCATTTGCCATTACTTTTGCTGAAAATAATTGAAAAAGTTTTCAAAATTATTATTTTCTAAACAATTTAAAAACCTTTTTTTAGACCCATTTTTTATTAGTACACTTTAGCCTGTGACAAGAGAAGTGAATCTAGGGGGATTGAATGTTTGAACATAGACAGCTTACATGCAACAAATTACAACTCACTAGTGCAGCTACATTTATGCCTTATTAATAACGTATTTGTTATGACAAGGGTTGATTAATACACTGCACTACTGAGAACTACCTCTGGTTTTATCTCTCCAACAATCCATCCTTCCATTGGTTCTTTGACTGAGATCTTTACTTTAGTATCAATCATAGTCTCGACATAAAAGGACTGAGGGGAACCAAGCAGGGTTCTACCGGTTGATTTCTCTTCTTGCATGATTTTCTGGAAGATTTCCAAAACAAATCATTTAATTAAAAGAAGTATATCTTTAACCCTATCTTAAGATTCAATGTCAGTGTGAATGCATGTTTCCTTGGAATGTTTCTACATCTCACTTTGATACCTATTGCAATTTAAAAAAAGATTTTTATCAAGCTGTTTTTGTTTGCCACTTCCTGATGAAAGAGCGTTTATCGTTGGTTTCTGAAAATTAATATACTTGTGTACCCAGTGGAGGCTAGTCAGAGCCACTCATTGAGGGTTAGAGGAGGAAAGCCAAGGGAATTCTAACGTTCTCAGTTTATAAAAACTATTGTTATCTAGATACCTCAAATGATGACTCACTGTCATCAAAGATATATAAGTATGCTGTGTAGTCCACACCAACTGTGCCCACTCCACCAAAAACAGCGCCTTGAAAGCGCTTCTTTGTTGGTTTGCCGTTATCAAGTGAGGTACCGATGATAACATAGGAGGTAAGATTATCAACCTGAAAGCTGACTTCATTATTGTGGACTTGGAATTTGTTTTCCCCCTTCCATACAATTGAGCCTTTGTGTGGTACAGAGCTTTTCGGCTTGATGTTCCAGCCATTGCTTAAATACACCAAAGCACTATGAGGTATTCTGACTTGCACTGGTTTGGATAGTTGCTTCCCATAAGGCTGAAATTTTATCACAGGGCTAAGCTGTACTTCACCAGGCTGAAGAGGTATAGAATTTTCATCCCAACATATCTTTAGTTGTATTCCTCGGCAATCACTGGAGAAACAATTTGCATCATTGAATTGGATCAAGATACCTGATTTATCAAAATGTAATATCTGTTGTGATCCATGTGGTGTTGGATCTTCCAGTGTTATCAATTCACTCCGTGGTGCTAAAGAAAGGAAGAGGATAGGTTTTAAATTTGGTAGTAGTTATCATGGTGTTCTTATGATTGTATACAATCTTGCATTTCCTTTTTTTGGTGGGAGAATTATTAAAAAAAAATGATTCTTAAGTTCATAGTACCCAGGGGTTAATCTTGAAGTCTTCAGCTTTCTGTTTTTGCGATGAAAGGCCCTTGGTGGATCTTTTTTTAATCCTTTTTCATCGCTGTTTATCAATTGGCCATTTCAATTCAAATCAACATCACTGAATCCCAATATGAGGTAATGATTAAAACTTTACCTTCGTCTGCAGATGGCAGCAACGCAGTACATGAGTCCGTTCTTTGACGCCTATTTTTTCTGCGGTATTTGATGCACTTTATAATCACCAGTGTTAAGATTACAACAAATAGTAGTGCTGTCGTCACAGTCAAAACTATTGTAATGATAGAGGATTTCTTTGGAGAAGTTTTCTTAGAGCTGTTTTGTTCCTGACACACAGTTATGGATCGCTCTGTATAGCCGCACTGTTTGTTTTTTGCTATATTTCGACATTCAGGAATGCGCACATCATATTTATCATTACAGCAGGCAGAACATGGTTTACATCCTGTGTCTTTACTGCCATAGAATCCTTTGTCACAGTTACCACAAATCCTATCATGTGTCAGATTGCAGGGTGTCAGTTCTCTCTGTCCAACTGCACAAATGGAGCATTTCTTACAAGTTTGCTTAGTTGGCTTGTCAGAAAACGTGTTGCCACGAGAGCACTTAATACATTTTATATCATCAATGCTTTTTAT